CATCATATAGTCAAGCACTAGTACCTTGTCTGGGAGACGTGCGTTTCTCCTCCTGGGGTCAGGTCACCACAGTTGCGCGATCATTGAAGCTTAAGGTTAAGTTTGGGTTTAGACTTAGGTTAAGGCTTATGCTTACACATTGGCTTATGCCTAAGCCTATGATTGGGCCTAGGCTTAGTCCTAAGCTTGCTCCGAGCGAATGAACGGCGTCTCAATTTTAGGTGACCTGACCCCAGGAGGAGAAACGCTACGCACCCGGTCACAATTTTGAAAGTTTTCTTCGATTGACGCTCACCGAAACGTGGAGTAAGGGCGTGAAGTGATTAAATCCCGTTGGAGGTCCAGTGACTGAGCGAAATACATGAAAACCGACAAACTTCAAGCAAGATTGGTCCCAAATTTCTGTGCTTTCACGCCGGCCATCCGTCGCGTTCGACCAATTTTAATTTTTTTACGATCCCCTCCCTTACAAGCAAGCCCTTTCAGGGTCTGAAGCGCTTTGTCAAAACCTTTTTTATTGTATGAGAATTCATGCAAAGACTACAAAACCGAGGATATTTTCGCCAAGCGGTCTGGTGAGGGCTAATATTCGGTGGAAATGGTCCAAGCCTGAGTTCCTCGTGGCAGCTAAATTTTTGGATATCAAGTTGGGCTACCAGATTTACTTCAAATGGTCCCAGTGCAAATTGTAAGTGCCATGTTCAGTTACGTTGCCCCTGAAACATGCAAAAAGCCATTTCTAAAAAGCGGTTCCAGAATATCCTCCCATGTTAGAAGGACTAGATACGATCCCCTATTACCACAAGTAAAGTTTGTCGCTTACGCATATGACTCCCTACCACTTCCTAAATCACTCTCACCAGCTCGCCGTTTTGAAGAATTTGTTTATAAGACCATCCGCATATTCCAGCTCCATCCATTCCCACATCTTCACTCAAAAACAGCCTTTGAGCTGGTCGCGGAGGGGCTAAGAGAGTAAACATGTGTCAAAAATGGCAAATGCTTTTATTTAGCCAACTCATGCTTCTTTGAGGTAGTTTCCGCCACAATTACCAAAAGCCTCCCAAAAACGACCCCCTCTCCCGCAACCACGACCCTTCATCTTCCAAAAATATGACCCCCACCATTTCGACTATTCATCTTGGTCGACCCGAAATACGAGATCTCTCAAAAATCACAAATCCAACTATCCACGGTGTAGATCGGCCAGGCGGATGGTTCACTCGGACTCCCACGCCTGCATGAAAAAACATTTTTCATTTTATTATTTTTTTTGTTGTAGCAAGAATGTGAAGTCAGGGGGCTCTTTATAACGACCTTCTTCACAAGAGCAAACATTCCTTGGTTTTAGTTGAAGCAAGAAAGCGATGAAAACACCCATCGGGTATGCATTAACCTATTCCTAACCGATCAGAAAAAGTAGCAGGTTGTGGTCCTGCGCAATTTTGTGGCTAAAATTGGGATACCGTGGTACTTTGTGTCAGATCAATTTGGTATTGTTTACTATACGCCCACAACCATTTATTTTACGAAGTTAATTAGAGAATGCCAAAAATGGCTAGTCACGTTTGTTAATTTCGAATCCCAGAAATAAGTGAACTAGGATTCAACAACTGCTAGCCTTGCAAGGTTTCCTATCGGGAAGCCTTCAAAAAGGGCGCTCATGGCTCTGGGTGGGGTGGGGGGTGAGGAGGAGAAGGGAAATCCTAAGGAAGGCATTCAAAACATCTTGCTGAGTTTAAAGGCAAGCTTCGGTATAAAGTAGGTATGGGACTCTGAGCTAGAGGTGGGAGGTGGTCTGGAAAAGAGAAGGAAAGCAAACGAAACCACCGATTACGCCCCGTACAGAGACCTCCCCTATTTCAGCCACCTTGGGATGGATAGAAGGAGGCGCGTTGGACGAGTTTCACGAACCTAACTCTAGTTGCTCCAGTGCCAATGACATTGGATCGCAATGGGACCGCTGCCTCAAATGCGCCCGCGCTTTTCAAGCAGCAACCGACAGCGGAGGGTGTGGGTTGCGGTCGGACGAGCTCCTTGCGCCTTTGTCGCGCACTTTCAAGCGGCAAAAGGGGCGCGACATCAACGCTTGTCCGCCTGTCTACTACCCCCTGGATGGAACAGGCGAGCGCGCCTAATCCCGGAGCGTGCCTTTAAGTCACAGGAGGGGGGAGGAACTCCAAGGAGACTCCCAAGTGCTGAAAGCGGTTCACTCACTCGAGTGCCTCTCGCCCCCCTCCCCCCTCCCTTCCTGACGACATGAGCGCCGAAAAACGTAGAGTACACAGCCGCTAACCATTCGTATACCGGTGCTCTCCGAACAGGGTGACAAGTCCATCACTGAGATAATTGCGGACGTGTAAATGAAACACTCAATGGCGTTTTCGAAGGAGATGTAACGGTGTCGACGGGTAATCAGTTGGAAGAGCTGAAAATATTCAGAGGAATCGGATATTACAGTAGCAACCACAAATTTGTGGTATGTTCGCCTTATTCCTGCAGTATGTACCACAGAAGCGAAAAAGAGAGAGAATGTAAAATATTTCAATTTCAAAATTTAACTCCTATCTCAAACAATCTCATACCTCTTTAATGAGCTGTGCGATGGCCAGAGTTATCACAACCCATCTGCACATAGACAACCATGGCGGGCGGGTTATCATCTGTAATAACAATGAATGTATCCAAGCGATCTCCTGAGCTAAATGAAGCCCAGAGTACAGATCTGGTAAGACCAACCACGTGCGGGCATTCACGCTCGTTGTCGAAGAGTTCCGTGAGGTCACGCATCTCATTGCGAGTCTCATCGTATACGTTGAATGGTGGCGGAGTGTGAGTCACGTACATGGTGAAGGTGCACAGGAAGAGCAGATATACCCCAAGCGCTGAAATCACTTGGTTCAAAACCACGCAGTTACGGTATGCAGTCCTTCTCACCAAAGTAGTACACGTATCGTCCAAGGCTGTTCCACTTGTACTTGAGAAGAGCCTGCACTAAGGGGTGCGAGAGTAGAATTTCTGACTGGGCCTAAAAATGGAGCCGATTAGTACAGGAGATTTCGATCCGCTAAATTTGGTCAGATTGTTTGCGTAGATTAGCGTAGTACCGACCATTATTTTCAGGGGGTGGTTCTTGTAGACGACGTCGTAGTCGTCAGAGTAGGCCTTGGCACCTTGTTTGAGCGTACCATCGTCTTTGTAAGGGCTTACTGTTGAAAGAAGTTCTGAAAAAAGTTCAATAATCGGCAGTGGTTATACCGAGGGATTAAAAATTTTCACAAATTGCTAGCAAAGGATTGAAACCCTCTAAAAAACTGAGTTGATTACCGGTTCCGTCCTTTGAAGGCATCATGTATGTGTCGTCGATCAGAGCAAAATTGTATTCACGGAAGAAGAAAAAGTTGTCAGGGCTATCACCGCGATCGCTAAATATGGACAATTAGACGGCGGGGCTCAGCTTGGATGATCACCACGCGATCACCCATGTGACCGCATCCTCACCCACCTGATACATTTGCTGAACACTATTTCTGCGATGTCGGGAAACTTCTCGATTAACTTCCTCAGTGGCGTGACCCTTGAAAGGTTATGACGTCCGACAGGAAGTGTGTCGCTAGGCGACATGATATTCATCCATTCTTCCGATTCAACCAATGCTCGAGCCACCTCTCTAAATCTCTTCATAGGTACATATTTTGTTGGTTCAGTTTTCTCTTGGTAGATCATCGCTGAAAGGGGATCGTCAAAAAATTTTTATTCATACCAAAAAGAGTACTGCAGGGACCTGGTGATAACATTTACGCCAACATATAGCTCAGTTTTGAAACTTTTCTGCGGAAATCTAGTAGGAAAGGTGCTTATGTGCTGGAGAGTCATACAGTTAATGAGGAATGAGGTTGGCTTTTTGAAGCAACCGTAAAAATTGAGAAAGTGACCAGGCACGTTCTCAAAAACTGCAAGATCCGATTCATTTCTCTTGTGAACTGGGTCATCAATAATCTTCATTGTATTGCATTAGCTAAACTAGCTACAACACAGGGTTCAAATGGGTGAAGAGTATTGTCATTATGGGCACGAAGTGCTAGGACAACATTCCCAAGGAATACCCCTGCTCTGGGTATTGTTTTGGTAATCGTACAGGAAAAGTAGCCTTGTTTTTCCATCCCTTGAATGCAAGTGTAAGGTATAGGAACCCCAGAAATTCGGGAAAATCCGCAATTCAGGACAACAGAACATTATCCAGACTGATGTCAGTGATTAATCGTTTGATAATTATTCAGTTTTCACAAAACTGTAACAGCTCACAACAGGGTAATCGGCTCTCGCTCTCTATGGCTATCGCTCAAAAGGTCCATGTTGTGGGGACGCGGCGAAAACAGCTTTGAAAGAACTCTTCAGGATCAAAAAGGTGTGGTTTTCGCATACAAGAAGGAAGCTTTGATGCTTATTGGGCAGGAACTAAACAAAAAAGGCAAAATGTTTCATGCTCAATGAGTTATTAGGGTGAAATGGAGCACGCGGTTCACTCCCTTTAATCTTATCCGTGGTGTTGATACTAAGGGACGATAAGTAGTGAGAAGTGGGAAAAATTCCCTATTTCCCCTTCCCATTTCTGCATTGAAATAGCTTTCCGACTAATAACCTATATTTCAACCGCCATTAGGGTCACTTACCGGTGTCCGTTCTCGATGGCCAAATCGAGTGCCGTTTTGCCGTTTTCATCCCTGCGATTTATGGTGGCGCCAGATTCGAGCAGAAGTCTTACGATAGCGTCGTGTCCTTTTGCCGACGCCAAATGCAATGGGGTTGAATCGCTGAAAGCACCAAACCACACTCTTTTGTTTGACTTTATTCCACCAGAAAGGGCAATATTTGTCCATTATGGCGTTTAGCAGCTGAAGCTAAGAGAGAGTGAAGCAGAGTTGGAACAACAAATTCGGCACATTAGCAGACAAATATCGCTGCTGGCATGTAGCCGTGCGCAACAAAAAAACATTCTCTGATTTCTTCGGATTTCCAGT